CAACAACAAAAAACCCCAAAAAAACCCCAAACACCTCAGTGCAGTGGCATGTAATATGTTCCAGGCCAGTGCTTAACCTGCACGTTTGTTAGGTCACTTAGTCCCCGTGACAACCCTGTCAGGTTGGTCCTCTTATCACCCCCATTTTATAGATGGGGAAACTGAGGCACAGACCGTTTAAGCAACTTACCCTAGGTCACACAGCAATACTGATACTAATACAGTCTGTATTCAACTGTAACTTTATGGAGAACCTAGTACATAATAGGCCCCATCCTGCATGAGCCTGTTGAATCCTGATAACAAGGCAAGGTGGCCAGCCATTGGTGCCATTCCTCCACACAATGGAAGAGGAAACTGTCTCTTGCTTGAGGTCACCCAGATAAGCAGGCCTGGGAGCTCACTCTCCATTCATTCCAGCAGAAACAGTATTTAAGGAGCCTGGTCCCTGTGCCACTTAGTGAGCTGGGGGCACAGCAGTGCGAAGAAAGCAAGGTCACTGCCTGTGGGGAGGCAGCCATCTCGCAGGGAGAAAGACCAAAGCAGAAAAATAAATAGACAACGTCATGTGCAGGAGTGGTGTGTGCGACAAAGAATGAGGAAGCCCGTTTGGACGGAGGGGGCTGAGGGGTAGATCTTGAAGGCAGGGTGGTCAGGGAAGGGGAGAGGAGGTACAGGCAGAGGGAACCGCAAGTACCAGGGCCCACCAAGGGGCCGCGCCAGGCATGCCTGAGGCCCAGCAAGGAGGCCAGTGTGGCCGGGTGGAGAGGGTAAGCGCCGCGCTCGGCGAGGGTGCTGGCCGGATCTGGAGCATTCAGGGCCTTGAGGGCTGTGGTGAGGACTTTGGCTTTGACTCTGAGCAAGACAGAAGCCAGGGGGAGGGCTCCGAGCAGAGGCGGGATATGATCTGACTCAGGTGTTAACAGGATCCCTCTGGCCGTGTGTGCGGACAAACTGGCAGGGGGTGAAGGTGGAACTGGGAGTCCAGTGAGGAGTTGACTTCAGTAGTCCAGGCAGGAAGTGACGGTGGCTGGACCGAGATGTTGGCAGTGGACAGAGTGAGAGCTATTATGTTGTGAATACATATACACTTTTTTTTTTAATTAAAAAAATGTATTTTCCCCGAGTGTTTTTTTTTTTTTTCTTCTTTTTTTTTTGGCTGCCTCAGTTCCCCGACCAGGGATTGAACCCCGGCCACTGTAGTGAAAGTGCCCGATCCTAACCACTAGACCAGGGAACTTACACCCTCCCCCCGCCCCCGCCCAAGTATTTCTTTCTTTGTCTTTTATGATCTTGATATTTTCGAACCACAGGATAATTTGTTTTTTTTTGTAGAACGTCCCTCAATTTGAGTTGCCTCATGATTAGATTCAGGTCATCCGTTTTTGGCAGGAAAACCACGGAAGTGGTGCCCTGCCCTCAGTGTATCACATCAGGATGCACACGGTGTCTGTTTGTCCTATTACTGCACATGTTGGCGTCCATGCCTAAGTTAGGGTGGTGCCCACCAGGTTTCTCCACCATAAAGTTACTCTTTAGTCTTTACAAGGAGTATCTTGTGAGGAGGTACTTTAAGGCTTTGTAGATATCCTGGACCTTCTGAAACGTTCACTGACAAGTTTTAGCATCCCTTGACAATTTTAGCTGCCGTTGTACGATGCGGATTTTTCCCTCTCCCCCTTTATGTATTTCTTCATTTATCTATTTACAGTAAGTATGGACTCATGGATTTGGCCCTTTCAAGCTGACTCCTGTGTGACTGGGAATTTGTTTGGAAGATCGCATTTCATGATGGATCGGATGGGCTGTGTGTGAGAGAAGAGAGGAGGCCAGGACTCGTTCTTTCAGCAAATATATTTATCGCCAGGGACTGGGGATAAAGCTGTGATCAAAGCAGTGCAAAGGCCCTGCTCTCGTGGACCCCATGAATGGTGGTGCCAGTTCCTGGGAAGACGGGGACTGGGTGAGGGGTGGCACAGATTTTAGGAGGGGGACTCAGGAATTGGGTTTTGGTCAGGTTAAGTGGAGGTGGGGTAGACAGCGCTCTGCTCCCAGGCCTCCGGGCTCCCTCTTCCTGTAGCCCCACACTCCCCATAATGGCTCCCTGCTCTTCTTCTTCACCCAACAGCCAGGATAATGCAGACTCCACTGACCACTACTGTGCCCGTGCTCCGGCTCCCCCGGGGCCCTGATGGCTTGAGCCGAGGCTTTGCCCCCGACGGACGCAGAGCCCCCCTGAAACCGGTGGTTCCTGAAATCCCGGAGTCTCAAGAATCGCGGGAATCCCAGGAACAGCGGGCCCGAGCCACCCTTCGGGAGCGCTACCTCCGCAGCCTGCTGGCCATGGTGGGGCGCCAGGTGAGCTTCACGTTGCACGAGGGTGTGCATGTGACCGCCCACTTCGGAGCCACTGACCTGGACGTGGCCAACTTCTACGTGTCGCAGCTGCAGACTCCGATAGGCGTGCAGGCTGAGGCGCTGCTCCGGTGTAGTGACATTATCTCATACACCTTCAAACCGTAAAGATGTTATCGTGTTCATCTTTCTTCCTTGGGCGTAGCCACAGCCTCCCAGGCCTCCATATGCTCCTGAGCTTGGACCTCTGGGCCCCAGAGAGTTCGGAACACCCTTGGAATTTTGAGCCAAGCTTCAAGCAACTCTGGCTTCTTGGGACAGTAAAATTCTGCGGCCCCAGGAGTTCTAGATCCTCTTGAAAGGAAGGCTGTACCTCACAGAACTCTAAACTGTACAGATATATGGGCCTCATGCCCATTCCTGAAGATTCCGGGTGGAGAAAGGGAATAAAGGAAGGCAAATTGTCTAGTGGGAAATTGTCTGTTGAAGAGGCTGCAAAGGTCAGCCACCCTGGAAATACTCCCCTCCTGCCAAAGTACCAGTTATCCCAGGAAAATTTGCCTCCTTTTTTTTTTTTTTTAATGTACCCTATAGGGATTGAGCCAGACTTAGGTAGTAGAAGGGTGGCTATCCACGGGCTGAATCCCATGCAGCTGGGCCAGGAAGGGGAGGACACGTCAAGGGAGTGGGAGGAACTCCGATAAAGGTGTGGTGATTGGACCTCCCGCTAGTCTCTGGGAACGCTGGAGCGACCTGGATGCCAGACTTGGGAGATCTGGACTTGATTTCTTTTTCGGGTGGTCTAGGATGTCCGTAACGAGTTGCGCGGCTCGCATTGGGTCACATGGTCACGCGCAAGGGCTCCTCCTATTGCCTGGCCTCTGGGTGGGTAGAGTCGCTTCCCCGCCCATACGGGGACTGGTTGGGACCTGTCTAACCCTGTGTGGCGGCACCACTGGGAAAAGGCAAGAGGATTAAGGGTTAGGGTGAAACTTTGCCCTTTCTCCATTTCACCCCAGCTGTGTAGCGTGGCCGTCCGTATCACTCGCTTTACTTAGCCCCATTACTAGTAGTCTTTCAGCAGATTTGTTTTTATTTATTTATTTGGCCGCCGCGGGCGGCATGCGGGATCTTAGATTCCGGGCCAGGGATCAAACCCTTGCCCCCTGCAGTGGAAGCGCCGAGTCCTAACCACTGGATCGCCAGGGAATTCTCTCAGCAGATTTACTTTTTTTTTTTTTTCTGTACGCGGGCCTCTCACTGTTGTGGCCTCTCCCGTTGCGCGGAGCACAGGCTCCGGACGCGCAGGCTCAGCGGCCATGGCTCACGGGCCCAGCCGCTCCGCGGCATGTGGGATCTTCCCGGACCGGGGCACGAACCCTCTTCCCCTGCATCGGCAGGCGGACTCTCAACCACTGCGCCACCAGGGAAGCCCAGATTTACTTTTAAAAAGTAATTTCTGCCCCGTCTGTAGTCCCATCTATTTAAGAAGGTAAGTGAAGATTCCATTAAATATGGATGAGATTTGCTTTGTTCCTCCTCAGTCGTCAAAGCGCGGTGGCCAGTGAAGTTGAATGAAGCATGTGGAGAGCCTCAGCTCCCATATGTCCATTCACAGAGCTACCTTTGGCGACTCCTGGGCCTAGCTTCGAGTTGCCTAAGCAACGATGTCGCCTGCTCCTCCCCATGTATCCTTTTTTGGTTTTAGCTCCTCCTTCCCCGAGTTGCCTGTTGGGCTGGGATAGCGTGGAGAAAGTGCGGCTGCGAATACTAAGCGACTGAATCGAGCCCTTGTCGGGGCGTGGCTTGAGTTCGTGCTAGTTCGCTACTGGCTCCGTGATCTACCTGGTCCATCGCCCGGTATTTTGGTTGGCAGATTGGTCCCTTGCTTTTGGCATTTCTTCCTTCGTTCAGTTTTTTAAAAAACTTAAATCAGGGCTATAATATTCCTTATGGGCTCCTATTTCAATTTTTAAATTTAAATTGTATTTTATACAACGCTATCCAAATACAGAGGGTTATTGATGAAGCTGCAGTCTGCAAATGGAAGGCTAGAGACTAACCAGCAAGTGGGGACTGGCTTCGTCTGCAGGCAGATGGTCCCTCTGTCCGCATCCATCACCTGTACTCATATATTCAACACAGCTTCTGTCGCCTTCCCTTTCAAGTTCTCCATCTCTTTACTTCTCTCCTTACCAGTTGGCCTAGCCCCACCAAACAGATATTTTTATTTCTATCAACTCCATTCCCTTCTCCGTGCCTGAGCTCGTGACGAATGTCTGAGAGCCTAAACATTAGTTATCTAGATTAAAGCGGGGAGGCGCGGTGGGGGCGGCTCAGGTTCGCGCTTGCGCGCTGCTCTGGGAGACGGCGTCCACCTCGCCCCGCCCCTCATATTCTGCAGTTCCGGCTCTGCAGATTCACTGCTCACGTTTCTTTTTCCTGTGGCTCTTTCTGCCTTTTGTTTGCCCCCTTTAACAAAGCACGAGACAACTCTACCTGCAAATAACTTAAATTGATTTTCTGCTTTTCTGGGTACTCGGCGGGCTCACCGGCCCTTAACGAAAGTGCGGCTGCGAACGAGCAGGCGCGCACGGGGCTCGGGGGAGGCGCGCTCGAGCTCCCGGCGGCGACGACTACGACGACCAGGAGAGCGGACGGAGGCGGCGCCTGAAGCAGTGGCTGAGCCCATGCCCCGGGACGGCGGGAGGGCCCGGAGAGACAAGTCCGGGGCCCGGGGCATGTCCCCAGGGCCCCCGTGAGGAGGTGGCGGCGGCGATGGAGGTCCCGCCGCAGGAGGCGCCGCCCGAGCCGGGCGCGGACGGCGAAGCCGAGGAGGCCCCCGCCGAGGCCCCGTCTCCCAGCCCCGCATCGCCCCCGGCCGACGGGCGCCTCAAGGCTGCGGCCAAGCGCGTTACATTCCCGTCCGACGAAGATATCGTGTCCGGAGCTGTGGAACCCAAAGACCCGTGGAGACACGGTAGCTACGGCTGGAGCGTGGAGGCGGGCTGGTGGGGGACCTGGGAGTCAGTGCAGAACCCAGCACAGAGGTGGAGCTCAATAAGTTGCACCTAATGATAATTTAAGGAGACAGTCGTCAGTTTAGAGCTGGAGAGTGTTAGAGAGGAGGTGGCTGTTGGGTTGGGAAGGTGAAAAGTAGCTGGTTTATGCTACTCCCCCCCTCCCCCCCCCCCAAGGGACGCTGAAGGTGATCTGTTTAGGAATTGAAACGGTGAGCAATCAAAGAAAGTTTGGTGGCTTGGGAGATTAGGAGGGCGGTAGCCTTTGAGTTTACAGTTTCCCAAGAGAAGGATAGAGCAGTCAGGGGAGGAAGAGTGGGTCAACATTGGCGCTGAAAGGGCAGTTGGAGGAGTTTGATGGGCCCATGGGGACAGAAAGGTTAAGTTGCTGTTCTGCAAGCCTCGGGGCAAGGGATGGTCATGTGGTTCACTTCCTTGGGTGAAAGAAGGAAGAGGAATAAACCTGGATTATGGCTCTAGACCAGTCAGTAGATCCTGGGGCTGGGAAAAGGGAGTCAAAGTAAACAAACTTGCCAGAAAAGTAGCAGAGTTGGTGGTCAGTTTGGGGGGGGGTAAGATAGAGGAGATATTCAGTCTTGGCCTTAAGAAAAGTCACTGCGTGCCTCCTTTTCCTCTCCCCCCCAAAAAAGGGAAGCAGAGCATTGTCAGTCATTCAGGAGCAGAGGAACTTTGGAGCCTGGCTCTAGGAGGGTGTTTTTTTTTTTTTCCCCTGAGGAAGCATTGGGGAATTGGAGTTGCCGGTCAGTTGAAGGTGAGAGCATTGAAGAAGTTTGGTGGCTTGAGGTGTGGGGAGAGAGAGCAAGTCCATGGGCTATATGTCCTCTGGAGAAGGTCGGCTCAGTGTTGAAACTGAAAGGGCAGTTGGAAGAGTGTGTTTTATCCATAGGGCTGGGAAGGTGGAAAGTTGCTTCAGGGGTGGATTGGCAGTGTTGAGTCCTGGCCAGGTCTGGCAGTCTTGCTGGGATGGAGCCCGCAAAGAGAGGGATCATCCTGGCCCCGGCTCTACAGAAGTTGGTCTGTTGGCCCTGGGGAGAGAGGAGGAACTGTTGCTAGTCTGTGGGCAGTGGAGGAATTGGTGGCTTTGATGTGAGAGTGGGAGACGTGGGAACTGGAAGCTGAACACACGGGGAACCACCATAAATGCCATCTTGGCCATTAATTGTTAAAGAGACGGTGGTTAATTTAAAATTCTTGGCCTTGGGAGCCAGCCCAGTCCCTGGGCTCTTGGCCCCAGGAATAGGCGGGCACTTTTGGGTTGGAGGGCTTGGGGGACTGGGGCTGAGGAAGGGAAGAGTTGGAATGGGCCTCGGCTACAGCATGATATCCAGTCCAGGGAGCTCAGCAGGAAGCGGGAAAGACCTGGAGAGGCCGAGCAGGATGGTGATGAGACGGTGCTCCAGTTCAGTCCTGACTCCCATGTACCCGAAGCATAACCTCAGGCTGGGTACCTAACTCCTCAGAGCCTCCGTTTCCCATCTGTAAGTGGGTGAGAATACTACGTCACAGGGTTTCAGAGAGGACTGACTAAGATTGTGTGTGCAAAGTGATTGGCCAGGGTGAGCCTTCATAAAGTCTCAGGGATTGTTGGTCATTTTAGGGGAGATGTTAGGTGCTACTGGTCACTTTAGGGGCCAGCCTAGAGGAGTTGGTTCACGGAGCTGGGACCTGGATGTTTCCGCTTCACAGGCTTCCAGGAGAGGGTCAGAACGGTGGTCCATTTGTGGGCTCGGGGCAAGGGGAAGGGAAGGTGTTCCGTTTGTGGACTTCAGCGTAGTTGGAGATTCTGGCGCGGGGAGGGGTTGGGAGTGGGGGAAAGTTTCTGGTCTGCAGGTTCCCGGAAGGGGAACAGCTGTGTGTTACCAGCTGTTGGGCTTTGGGGAAGCCATTTTTCCTCTCTGAGCCTCCTGTTTCTTTCTCTGCAAATGGAGGTGCTAATTTCTACTGTGGAGTAGTTGTGAGGATTAAATAAGACAGTCCTTGTAAGTTCCTGCCGCATAAATGGCAGCTGCTGTTATCCAGGCGCATTCAGTCCGGTTTTGTTTTTGTTGTTGTTTTTTCTCTTGTGGGCAGTTGTGGAGATGCAGTGAAGGAGTCTGGAGGGGGGAACCCCCGGGGGGGAGGGAAGAATGTCGAGAAAGAGGGTCAGTCGGCGTCTGGCTGGGAGGGGTTGAGAGGATGAGGATGGTCGCTGACTGGTCTGCCCCCCCACCCCGTGGGGTGGAGGTGGTGATAGCTCACGGGCCGGGGGAGTCTCTCATTCCTGGACGTTTAGGGAGGGGCGGCAAGGACGGGCGTGGACTCACACTCTGGAGGAGTCAGTGGGTCTGAGGTGGAGAGGTGATGACATGGAGAAATGGATCGATTTTTTCAGCTAGGGGAGTTGGTCCGTCTGGGCCGGGGAGAGGGGTTGCAATTGACCTGACAGGGAAGGAGTTGGGGGATCTTGGGCCCCAGGCAGAGGAGGGGTCGTTGGTGAAGTTGGTGAGTTTGGATGGTGGGATTTGGCTGGCCTGGGACTGAGGGAGGTGGAGGCTTGCCCCCCAGGCCGTGGCATGTCGGGCCAAGGGACTGCCTAGTTGAGAGAGCCCAGGATCTTAGCTGGGGGCTTCAGGGAGGAGCCGGCCAGACTTGGAGGAGGGGCAGGAGATCTGTTGGAGTTGGTCTGTAAACTGTGGGAAAGCACAGGGGGTGTCATTTGAGCTGTGGCCCTAGTGGGAAGCGTGAGGAAGGAGTCATTCTGGGGCCTGCTGTGGTGACACGACCCCAAGGCCAAGGGTGAGGGAGGAGTTGGCGGATCTGAACTGGAAGAGAGGTCCTTCAGAAGCTGTTCTCCATCGCAGAGTTGGAGAAGTTGCCTGGGCCAGGAGGTGCAGGAGCTGGGAGCTGGGAGCTGGGAGCAAGCAGCCACTAGAGGAATTGGGGGCCCCAGCACAGGGCGCCCTTTCAGCAGGGCCTTGCCCTGGGAGGAGAGCTCAGCTAGGCCCTGACACAGCCTCTGACTGGGGTGGAGGAGGGCTGGGACTGAGACTAGGTGGTGGCCCAGCTGGGTGGGAGCCTCTGGGGGTGTCTGCCTAAGGCAAGAGCCCCATCAGGCCCTGTCAGAGGTCACGTGTTGGGGGATTCCTGGAGACGAGACATCTGAAGGAGGGAGATGGTGATGGTGCAGGAGGGTCTCAGGCCTACAGAGGGTCAACCCAGCCCAGCACTCAGAAGGGCCTTCCCTGGCTCCCATGTCACATGGTGTCCCCGCCTGCCCCCAGTGCCAGGGGCCTGCTTATTTTCTCATTGTACTAAAGGCCATCTCCTGTTACCATGCACGTTTATTTCGTTTCGGTGGTCTCTTTCCCCCGCTGGAATCGGGGAATAGACACTGTCTGTCCTTGTTTCTACCCAGCCCCTCGAAAGACACAACAGTTATCGTGGTTGAATGAAAGCCAGGGGCGTGTGTGCAACCGTTTTGGAAGGGGTGAGGCCAGGCCATACTTGGGGTCCCTCTAGCCAGGGTGCGCCTCCAGGCCAGCCCTGGCCGCAGCATATGCTGTGGCTCCAGCAAGGCACTTATTCTTGCTGAGCTTGTCTGTCTCCTCATCTGTGAAATTGTGATCCCTGCCCTGCTGACCACCCAGGATATCTGAATGGAGGGCATGGACCTGGTGGGGCAGGGTCTCTGTGGCAAGCCGGTTGCGAGTGGAAGGGACGTGAAGCTGGGGAGGAGGCTGCCTCAGTACTGCCAGGCTGGGCACAGGGTGCGCTCCACTCTCCCTGTGGGGGGTGGAAGTGGATGCCGGTGGAGGAGGGGCTGGCCTGGTGCACGCCCCCGACCCCCAGTCCCGTGGCGGCAGGCCCTGCGTTCCCAGCTCCTCTGAGGACCAGGGCCGGTTGTGTAGCAGGAACTCTTCAGACCAAACTGCAAGAATGACCTGAGGCTCAGCTGTCTCCCCAGTCCCAGCTGAACGCCGTGTGGGGAGGAGACATGGGGTTTGCGAGGCAGGCATCGGGAGAGCACATGACACCGGCTGCGGTCTGGGAGGCTGTCTCCCCTCCCTCCAGTCCTGCCCATGACTCATTCCCTGCTCCCTGACCTCCAGCCTGCGGAGTCTGTCCTGGAGTGGGGGTAGGGGAGTTGTGCCCACCAGGAAGTTCCTCATGTGAAGTGGAGGTGTCTGCAAGGTGCAGGGGGCCGGAACGTGCCCACCTCTAGCCGCCCAAGCTTCGAGGCTGGGGTGGTGGTGGGAGGGGTGGTGGGGACAGTGGCCATGATTTTCTTTTTTTAACATCTTTATTGGAGTATAATTGCTTTACAGTGGTGTGTTAGTTTCTGCTTTATAACAAAGTGAAACAGCTATATGTACACAGGCCATGATGTTCTTAAATGACGATCAGAGAGGATGGAAATAAATGCCTTACTGTTTGTTCTCATTGAAACCCGTGCTGCAAATTTAGTCCTTGAAACTGGTTGGACTGGTGAGAAGGTACCTGTCAGTGGTGGGAAGAGGCTCTCTTACTAGTTAATGGCTCGTTTTAGCCTAAGTGGTGGGTGGTCTTGCTGGGGCGGAGGGAGTGGGGTCTTGGGGGGCGGCTTTGATGCTTTCGCCCAGATTTCCATGTGGGCCCAACCTCACCTCCTACTGCCGGTGTTGGCACGTAGACTCTGCCGTGTGATTTTGGGCAATTGTTCTCTCTGCCTGTGATTTTTCTCTCTATAAAATACAGCTGACATTAGTACCTCCTCACGGGGCAGTGAGGATTAAGTGAGATAACAGCGTCAACAGCAAGCACTCAGTGGTTATTCCGGTCGTTGCCAGTCTCCCCCCCCCCCCCCCCCCCCCCCCCCCCCCCCCCCCCACCCTCAGTGCATTACTGTCTCCCCTAGCGTCTCCCTCGCCAGAACCCTGCTGTCTGTCCTTCAGAGGCCTACTCCTCCGAGACGAGTGCCCCG